TTTTGCTTCGATGTGCAAATTGAAGCCTCAGTTTCCTGTTCTTAGCTGAAAGGAGTGGCATCCGGTGTGGTCTGCTGCTGCTGTAGCCCATCTGCCTCAAAGTTCGATGTACTGTGCGTTCAGAGATGCTCTTCTGCCCACCTTGGTTGTAACGGGTGGTTATTTGAGTCACTGTTGCCCTTCTATCAGCTCGAACCAGTCTGGCCATTCTCCTCTGACCTCTGGCATCAACAAGGCATTTCAACCCACAGAACTGCTGCTCACTGGATGTTTTTTCTTTTTCGGACCATTCTCTGTAAACCCTAGAGATGGTTGTGCGTGAAAATCCCTGTAGATCAGCAGTTTCTGAAATACTCAGACCAGCCCTTCTGGCACCAACAATCATGCCACGTTCAAAGTCACTCAAATCACCTTTCTTCCCCATACTGATGCTCGGTTTGAACTGCAGGAGATTGTCTTGACCATGTCTACATGCCTAAATGCACTGAGTTGCGGTCATGTGATTGGCTGCTTAGAAATTAAGTGTTAACGAGCAGTTGGACAGGTGTACCTAATAAAGTGGCCGGTGAGTGTATAAGCATTGTAGAAGCAAGCTCACCATCCCCATCTTCTGACCTTGACCCTATTTGAACTACTCCAGAATCCTCAGTCTCATCCAGACCATCAATGCTGTTGAAGGTGGCCATCCCCGTTTCGGTTTCTTGCATTACCACTGGATTTTCCATATTATAAACTCCATAGAAATACTCTGTTTCTTGCCTTGATGGACCAGGTGTTGAATGTAAGGCAGGATATAAAAGTTCCACATTGTCATCAATGACGTACACTGAATCGTGACCTTCAGTTCCATCTGGTAAAGCTTTGGGTTGGGGACTCTGTGATGCTTCTTCATATGTGATAAGGTACCCACTTGAGTGCCCTGAATCTCCTGGCGTATAGCCTTGCAAATACTTTGTTGAATTTATTGGCTCAGCAGAAGAGGCAGAAGTTGAGTGTTGAGTAGGTCTTCCTACACTGTGAGGCTATAAAAAACAATGACATCCATAAGATTGTGATGTAAAATAACACTGCATCCAAACATGTACTCTATGAAGTCCTGTAATCCTCATGTTTGCTAAAAGTGGTAATTTGTTGTTTCTTTGTTGTTTTTTTTGTTACCAGTAACATTTTATCAATGAGCAGGTGAGACATTTGGGAAGCAGAAAAATAAATAAATAAATAATTTAGTTATCATAATCGATGACGACATTAACATTGCAGCTTCGTCACTCGTTTCTTTAAGCAAGCGAACAGATGTCTGAACTACTGTTTCTTCTAAGGGACCCGATTCATATTTGAAATAGTTTTCATAAATTAAGCTAAAGATATTTAAATATTGCTAAATATACAGTATTTAGGGTTGATTAAGATAATTTACCTGTTTCGTGGGTTTGTCTTGTCTTGAGTGCTGCTCCAAAATGAACCTATTTGTCATTGGAAAGGAGACAATGTAATATGTATTGCAGGGAATCTAAAGGTTTTGTGAGGTAACGCAATAGTTTTGCGAGGTAACGCAAAAGGTTTTGCGAGGTAACGCAATAGTTTTGCGAGGTAACGCAAAAGGTTTGCGAGGAAACGCAATAGCTGCGCGCCAGCGAGTGTTAATACAGTACTTTCGACCGGGAGCTGCTGGGTCTCTACCTCGCCATCAGACATTTTCGTTACCTGCTGGAAGCTAGTTCACGTCTGAGCTGTGGAATGCTGTCGCACAGAGCCTCGGGGCTGACCTCCACCGCACAACTGCGTATCACCCACAGGCTAACGGACTCTGTGAACGTTTTCATAGGTCAATGAAAGCTGCCCTGCGTGCCAGCCTCCAGGACGGCAACTGGGTCGACAAACTCCCGTGGGTGATGCTGGGCATCAGGACCGCGGCAAAGGAAGACTTACAGTCCTCCTCCGCCGAACTTGTTTATGGTCAGCCGCTGCGGGTCCCGGGGGATTTTGTCCCTAACACCACAGTTCCTTGGTCTGCTACTCTCCAGCGGTCAACTCTTATAGATAATGCGAGGCTTTTCGCACCTATCCCTACTTCCCGTCATGGCCTCCCTCAGTCGCACATTCCCACTGGGCTTCAGACGGCTGATTATGTTTTCATTAATCACGATGCCCACAGGGGACCGCTACGCCCGCCATACGAGGGCCCATTCCGTGTTTTGGAGGCAGGGGACAAACATTTTTTGGTGGACAGGGGTGGTAAACCGGAGCGACTCTCCATTGATCGTCTCAAACCGGCTCACTTGGATGTGGCCAGGCCCGTTTACCTGGCCCAACCCCCTCGACACGGACGGCCTCCGGTTCTGCCCCCACCCCTACCCCCCTCCCTCCCAGGCCTCCCACACCCCATGCCCCACACCCGTGTCATGACGGGACGCCTGCCGCAGTGGGGTCTCATCGACCTTCGGTACAGCACAGCCGTTGTGGGCGGTTAATACGCCCACCTCCCCGTTGACTGTTGTTTTTACTTTGGTTATGGTGAATTCTGGGGGGACGTGTGTAGTGAACGTAACCGACATAATTCACCTTTGTTATTAAGTGTGGTTCTACATACCGTTCATAGTAAACACAGCACTTTATTCTGTTTGTAGTTACTTCTTGTAAGTATAATGGTTCAGGGATCGCGGCCCCTTTAAATGTTATGAAGGCGTGATGACGTGTAGCCCCACGCCGGTTGGTTTTGCTGGGCAGCGCAATTTTGTGGGCAGTAGTTTTTTTTCCTTGAAAAATAAACGACACACGCTTTGGTGTGCTCAACTTGAGAAATTGTCTCTTGCACTTTACTGCAATTTCCACAGTTTAAAATAAAAAATACAGTAGGTTGAAAAGGCAGAGTATCCATCCATCCATCCATCCATCCATCCATCCATCCATCCATCCATCCATCCATCCATCCATCCATCCATCCATCCATCCATCCATCCATCCATCCATCCATCCATCCATCCATCCATCCATCCATCCATCCATCCAGATTTCTCCCTTTCTCCATATAGGCTATCATTTAATCGTTCACGCTCTCCATAGTTCTCCTGTGGCGCGAGCACAGGGCGACTGTTGCGCGCTTTTAGCGAGCATGCGTGTTTCCTGTCGCTTGTGTGGTAAATCGTGCCGCCTGCGCTGTGGGGAGATGCAAGGGAAACCGTATTTGATGGGGAAACGCAGCTCGACATAACACCGGTATTTCCATCAGGAAAACGCTGTTTTGCTGCTGGAGTCATCCTCACTCTCCATCTCTCTGTGTGTGCTGTACGTTAACACCCACCAGCAGAAACACCCAACTGACAGACGGAATCTCACTATACATCAGCCAATCCCATCCTCCCCTCTCTTATGACAAGGCGCGCACGAATCCTATCATGAAAAAAAGTTCATTGTGCGACCTGAGTAACGCGCAGTAACGGGGTGTCTGCAATAGTAACTGCGTTATAGTTACAGTCAAAGTAATTAGTTAGATTACTCGTTACTAAAACAAGGTGAAGGCATTAGTAACGCCGTTACTTTCAACGCCGTTAGTCCCATCACTGATCACAAGGTACAGAAATACCATCTAATGACTGAGAAAAAGACAGTAAGAGACTGAGAGTGGGGCAACAACTAAACTGAACCAGCAATAGAAAGGGAAAGGGGCAATGTGAAAAAGGGGTCTGGAAGAGAGGGACTACAGGTAAAAGAAATTCTACATATGTACTCTTTTAGAATGTCTACATTCAAAAAGAGTACACTTTTGTTTTGTGTTCTCCTATTGCAAAAAGTCCCAAGCCTGCCTTTGCCCTGGCCTCAATATTTTTTAACTGACCCACTGCATACGTGGTATTGTTTTTTTGGTTAACATAATGGCACATGCTTTAACCTCAGACAGACTAACCAGTCAAACTGTGAGCTGGCTGCTTACACAAGCAACTGCGGTTTTAGTCAGCAATGCAAGAGAAGAGTGGCCTAAATCTTTCCATGACTTTCTCCTTCGATAGAAAAACCAAAGGCTCTGTGGTGATGATCATTTAATAGAATAATTGAATAGAGTCTGTTGAAGAACTATTAGATATTAAGTTTATAATTTTATTCACTTTGAAAAATATGTTAAAGACATAATGTCACATACTCTAACCACAGACAGAGGAACTTCAGTCAAACTGTGAGCTTCCTGCCTTTACCGCCGTGGTGAATTTACATTTTCTTCTTATTTTATTTAAAAATAGTGCTGGGTATGGTACTGAAAACACAATGTAAGCTGACAAAGCTTCAAATATGAAAGAATCTGTTCATAAATTCAAAAGTCTGAGTTTATTAGATGTTCAACAAGTAGTTAAAAAACACTCCTCTGATGCTCTTTGATTAGTCATCATATATATCAACACCAGTTACACCCAGAATAACTGTCCTTGTCACATCTTTATTTATTTTATTATAGTCATGATTGGACACACCTCCTCAGTCAAAGAGTTTATTTTTATGACTATGAAAATTGAAGATTCACACTGAAGACATCAAAACTGAATTAACACATGTGGAATTATATATATCCTTAGCACTTGTTGACCTTTTTGCCTTCACTCTGCAGTCCAGCTCACCCCAAACCTTCTCGATTGGCTTCAGGTCCGGTGATTGTGGAAGCCAGGTCATCTGGTGCAGCACCCTATAACTCTCCTTCTTGGTGAAATAGCCCTTACACAGCCTGGAGCTGTGTTTGGGGTCATTGTCCTGTTGGAAAATAAATGATGGTCCAACTAAATGTAATCCAGATGGTATAGCATGTTGTTGGCAGTATGCTGTGGTAGCCATGCTGGTTCAGTATACCTTCAATTTTGATTAATTCCCAGATAGCATTACCTGCAAAGCACCCAAAAACACCATCACACCTCCTCCTCCAGCTTCACGGTTTTATATATAGATAAAATTAACTAAATACCAAAAACGGATGCATAATTTTTTTCAGTGTAATTCTGATACAAAGATTTCTCAACATGTAGTACTAAGAGCAACGATGCGAAAGTACAAGTATGGAAAATTTTATTATTAATCTAAGCATAGTTACACACTAACTAAACAGCAAAGCAAACCAACATAACTATTTATTTTCTAGTATAACTTGTCTTGTCCCAGGCCTCTAGATCTGAGTAAACTTTATGCTGAGGTAAACTGTTGTACTGTAAACAAATCTTGCAAAGCATTTCCCTCCAGTCTCCATGGACTTTAACTCGTTGGTTTCGTTTCCACGTAAAATATTCCTCATATTGCTTTCTGTCCTTTGCAAGTCTTTGAAGGTGCTTTCCTAGTTCTTGCACCGATGGAAACTCATCGACGTGGATGAAAGAATGATCTGGAGCCACCGCTTTGTAGTCACTTATGGGGGGTCCCAGTACAACAGGTACAGCTCCTCCATGGTAAGCATTATACCAAAGCTTCTCTGTGATATAATCCTTTGCCTGTGAGTTCTCAAAAGCCAAATAAAAGTAGCAGCGAGAGATTGTTGGTAAGAGGTCTGCAGAGGAGAGGAGCTTTTTATTCCAGCTGCCATAAACGTTTACAGGAACTGTGGCGCTGAGGTCTCTATACACTTGTGTCCTTTTGTGGTGGTTCATGTAGTTGCTGACCACCCAACAGACCAAAGAGGTCTTATTTATGTGACTGTCATTCACCAGGTTACCTTCAGACTCCAAAGGAAGCAGTTCACCATATGGCGTGTACACATCAGCATCCCTCCTATAGGATACTGTCAAATTGAAGATATTTGCAAACTTGTGCAGGTTGCCGTTGTGAGCAGGAGATTCCAGAGACATCCAGGCCCACCTCTGACCCCCCGGCCGCTGGAGCTCGGTGGGAAGTCTCTGGGTACCAGCTATCAGTTCTCTGTTGTGGAACACAACAACGTCAGCTGAGGGGAACAAGGAGCGCTGGTCCACCAGTTTACAGTTAGGTATTTTGTACAGATCCCAGCATACATCACCCTTTAGAGAAAATGTGCTGCCGAAGGGCCAGTACCAGATAAGGATTGTCACATTCCCAGTCTTTCTCAAATGAGTCAAAGGGACAAATTCGGTTTTTCTTTGGGATTCCCAGTACAGGATAAGCAAAGCAAACACCACGCATAAAACAAGGAAACTCTTTATGGATCCAATGTGCCACTTTTTTGCTTGGTCACTTTCCTAATATAGAGGAAAAAATGTCAGTTTTAAATCTAAAGGGTACAGTGTCATGAGAATCTCATGCGTTTAAATAAAAATACATGTAAGGAGATGTTTATTTAAAAGTCTAGTAAAGAATACATTAAAGAAATGTAACTTTTTTTATTAATTATAAATATAAAAGTTTTATAAATAATAAATAATACCAACCTCGTTCATTTTAACTCTAGTTGGTAGAGAAGAGCAATAACTTGACTCCCAGAAGATGTTGAGCACACAAGTGGTGATGAAGCAGGAAATAGCCTCTTAAGTAGGAAATAAGCGTCTCACTTATTGGTAGAGTACTGTTGTGGGTAAACATCCTGTTTTTAGTAGTTTACAATGAAGTTTCTACTTAAATCAATTAGGAACTGAAAGTAATAAAAACATATAAATGCAAAGGTGGGCTTAGGTTTGAGGAACAAGAGTCAAGTATTGTGTTCTAAGTGTTTTGCTTGAATATGGTGATGCGATCAGAGAACTAAGTTTGAGGTCGTTGTAATGTGTGTTCCAGTGTGTATGTGTGGGTTTGTGTTTACACAACAAAGACACAAATGATTGCAAGATAACAGGAACTCTCACGGATCGACACAATGTCTAATTCTACCATGAGCGTGAAAGAAAATAAATAATTTTCCTTTTATGACACAAACTTTTGTAAACGGTCCTCTAAAGCTGTTCACTCACAAGTAAGCACCTTTTTTTTTTTTTTTTATCTTTCTATACAACGAAACAAAAATAGTTACAGTGAGAGATGTGGGGGAATTTTATACAGAAACAAATGTTCTGTTCTCTCTGTTCTGCAGGCCAGCATCTACGTCTGTTTAATGAATTATGATTTACCGTTCTTTCCCATGTCGAGGCTGCAAACCTGAGCTGTATGGAGACTTGGGTTGGAATTTCATACAAATATACACTATTCTGGACCCTGGATCTGTTTCATGGAGCAGGTTAACTGAAAACAGCTTTAGAAAAAAGTTTTCTAAAGCTGAAATATGGGAAACTCTGACTTTTCCGGTTCACAGAGAGTTTACTTCACCTCTGTTTCAGTCACTATAGTAACTTTTTATCCCAAAGCTAAACTGGTCAGTAGCAGTTTTTGCAGTAAACTCAGAGTGTCCTCTGTCTGTGCTCTCCTTACAGCCAATCATATTGCTTTATTTCCTGATGTAGTCAGATTTTTGTGCATTTAAAAGAAAATCATTCATTAGGTCTGTCAGGTATATTAGGTTTTAAAAATAAACATTGCATGTCCATTAGAAGAGGATCTGTTAGAGTGGTCGACATTTTCTCACTGAGAATCTGTCTGCAGTCGATCATGTGGATCATTTTACCTTTGTTTATTTTATTTTACAGTACATGAAGAACTACTGGAATTATTTTCAGATCACACATAGATTGATAAATTCCTAAGGAATTACTTTAGGATTAGGATTCATTCAGTGAAAACAACATACTAAGCCTACTGGCCCAATCTGAAGCCATTCTATGGGACTGAAAACTCCTATAAAATCAGAAGCAGCTGCAAACAGCCATTTAGTATTTATTGTGTAATGAAAGACAGAATCAAACATAGGAGGAACCCCGTGAAATAATGCACAGGTCTTATCTATTAGAACAATGTTTTTAGATTTCATATTAACTTCTTGCCAGATATCTTGTGAATATGTATTCCTGATATCTGAAAAAAAAAAAAAAACTTTCCGTGTCAAAATTACCATTTTAAACAAAATGACATTGTTCACATCTAGAATTAACATTCTGGATGTCTATAAAATGAATTTCAGATCTTCCTATTGTTATTGGTTAGCATTTGTATTATTTTGACGATGAAGAAATGTATTTCAGATATCATAAATCCATATTCATTCAAGCTGACAAATGTCATAAACGGCCACATAAAATGTGTAAACTTTCTAGGTATATAAAATTTAATTCTTACAAGTTAGCCTATAATTAATCATTTTTTTACTTTCAGAAATTCCGTTTCTGCTGCAAAAATTTTATTTCAAAAATGTAATATTACTGATCAGTCTAGGAATGTGAGTTTGATCAGAAAGAATCTTAGTTTTGGTGTTCTACAAATGGAACAACAGATGGAGAGTGCTTTTAATATATGTAAACTCGATCAATAATCTTCTCCTGTCCATCTTTCTCTCCTTAGCCGCTGTAGCGATGCTTCTCTGTCTTTTAATCACATTCTCCCCTTTTTTTTTTATTTCTTCTTTAAAATCTCTAGTTCCAGTGGGGTAAAAGAGGCACCTCCTGTTGCCTGTCGTCATAGTGAATCGTCGAATCGGTGCTCCACTGATAGTGGCTTTTTTTTATACTTCTATTGCAAATGCTCAACTCTGACTGGACCTACTTGGAGTTGATTGAACTGATTTACGGACCTCAATCTGAGTTTGTTAAACCTGCTTTGTGAAAAAACATAAACAAAAAATAAACTTACCCACAGGCTCATCAATACAAAGGATATACTTTACCAGCCTATCTGATGTTATGGTTCTCCCCTTTTGGACTTTGAGTTTTTTTCAGTTTTCAGTTTTCTAAGAAATTCTGTTTTGTTGATCTTTGGTTTATTTTCCATTTGTGTTATATTTAAAATTATGATGTCCGACAATGAGGAAGTTGACAATGAGGAAGTTGACCTCCACCACCACAATGACATCTGAATGTCGTTCTTGTCATGCTATTTCCTTAACACTATAAATACTCTAAAAAACTATTTCAATACTTATGTTGGGCTATATATGATCCTTCTGAGTTTTAAACCCCTTACTAGTTTAAAGCAGAAGTTTTAGCGATAGATCCCTTATTTTTAGAAAAAAAGATATATACTAAAATAATAACTGTAAAAAAAAAATGACATATGGAATTAGTGGATGTGTTTTTGGCGATCTAGTAAGCTTGAGTGACCAACTGACTATAATGATGTTGGATGACCCCAGTGAAATGAGAATTTTGTGCTTCTGTCAGGATTTGGGAGGGAGGTGAAATGAGTGGATTTATTATGTGCATCCAAAACGCAATTGCAAATTGGAACAGCACAGAGCGCAGAAGGCATGCATGATCACGTTGTGGAGAAGTTACAGGCAGAAGAGAAGAGAAAGGACCTTCTCTGTAGCTGAAATGAAAGAGAATAATCGGGATGTGTTTGTTGAAAGATAGCTTTGGGGAGCAAACATCATGGAGTATCTTCTGGTAGCAGACACCCTGAATACAAAGCATTTTTTAATGAAAGCAAGATTTCTTTTTTTTTTTTTTAGCACTATATAACTGTTTTTATTGTAGGAAAACAGTTATAAAACACTTTGGTTGCTGCCAGAATCTTAAAAAATAACACAACAGAGAAAACGAAACTTATTTTCTCTTACCAATGATCGTCATTCCAAATGGATATCTTGAGTTATTATCTTGAGATATCTTGGATACCTCGAAAGAGATCAAAATAGCCACTGCAGACGGTCCTTTTTCAGCACCACAGCTTTGTGAAAAGCAGACATATGATGGCTACATGCAAAGAGAAAAGCTATTCTTTTCCCCAAGATTCCCATTCCTCTTTGAAATAGCATCTTCTAGTTCATCGGTGTTGCAGTACATTACACAAAATTTAAAAAGAAAGACTTGTTGTAAGTAAGCTTTCCACTTTTTCTGATGTTTGTGATTAAAAGTATGCACTAACACAATTTCTGAACTATGGTCAAATTGACCACAAATGTTTAATATACAAATGCAGAAACTACACCCACATTTGATTTTCTTAGTAAGATGGTCTGGATATCATGGATCGACATGTATTTAAGGCAAAGTGTGGATTGGAAGAAGCCGGCCCGTATGCTTTTTGAAACCATCTCTGCACACTTTGTCTGATCACATACATCATGATTTTATTACTGTTCCTTTGCTCTGATTTTAATTCTGAAAATATCATTGTTTTCACCCTTGGACAATCAGACAATTTGTTTAAAATCTCTAAATCAATGCACTGACTCTGCATCACACTGACAACACCAAACCAAAACACTGCATAATTGCACCATCTATATCTAATACTCTGAACTTCCATATGTCATGGTCGTGGTTCTGCTGTTCTTTTCTTTGCTCCTTGTTTTCTAGATTTATTAGCCTAATTCCAGTTTTGTTGTATTTCTAGATTTATATTAGTTCTCAAGTTTTTCTGTTGTCCTCTTTTGCCCTCGTGTGTGTATGTTCCTTTCCCCTTGGCTCCCTCGTTGTCTCCTCTCACACCTGTTCCTTGTCTGCTCGTTAGCCCTCCTTTTGTCTCTGTCTCCTATATATGCTCTCCCTCTGCTCTCACTCTTTGTTGGTTCCTTGTCTTAGCTGTCTTCCCATGCTGTGGTCTATGTTCCTCGTCTCTTCCTGGCTCCTCGTGTTTGGTTTTCCCCAGATGTCTCCTCTGTTCTGGTTTGCCTTTTTATTATTAGTTGCATTTTTGGATCCCTGCCTTTGTTTACTGTTTTGCCCCATTAAAACTCCCAAGAGATCTCCTCAGCCTCTGCCTCTGCCTCTGCATTTGGGTCCTCCAAACCACAACTAAAACCTGACAACAGGAACCAACCACAATGGACCCAGCAGAGCCCAGTCTGGACACCCTGAGGGATTTTTTCCTGAAGCTGGGAAAGGCTCTGGACACTATTGCCAGTCTCAACCCGCCTGAGGAGAGGGTGAGTGCAGCTGGCCAACTAAGGCAAATTCTCCTCACAAACTGCAAACTCATTTCTCCCCCAGTGCTGTCTGAACTGTTTGAAGAGTTGGAGTGGAACCACCAAGCAGCCAGCGCCCAACTCTTCAACAGACCTCCACCACCCAAACCATCACTTCACCTCCTTCCAACTCTGCTGTCAATCACCTCCAGTCCCGTTCCTCCACCTTCACCAGCTGTTGGTCCCCCCATGCCGTCTGCCTCCTCCAGGCGTAAGCGCCGCCGGGGGAAGAAATCCATTCCCTCTCCGGCGGGTCAGCCTGACGCCTCCACTCCCTCTCCGGCGGGTCAGCCTGACGCCTCCACTCCCTCTCCGGCGGGTCAGCCTGACGCCTCCACTCCCTCTCCGGCGGGTCAGCCTGGCGCCTCCACTCCCTCTCCGGCGGGTCAGCCTGGCGCCTCCACTCCCTCTCCGGCGGGTCAGCCTGGCGCCTCCACTCCCTCTCCGGCGGGTCAGCCTGGCGCCTCCACTCCCTCTCCGGCGGGTCAGCCTGGCGCCTCCACTCCCTCTCCGGCGGGTCAGCCTGGCGCCTCCACTCCCTCTCCGGCGGGTCAGCCTGGCGCCTCCACTCCCTAGCTCCAGAGCCCTTTAGAGGCCCAGTTTCCCCAGCTCCAGAGCCCTTTAGAGGCCCAGTTTCCCCAGCTTCAGAGCCCTTTAGAGGCCCAGTTTCCCCAGCTTCAGAGCCCTTTAGAGGCCCAGTTTCCCCAGCTCCAGAGCCCATTAGAGGGCCAGTTTCCCCAGCTCCAGAGCCCATTAGAGGGCCAGTTTCCCCAGCTCCAGAGCCCATTAGAGGGCCAGATTCCCCAGCTCCAGAGCCCATTAGAGGGCCAGATTCCCCAGCTCCAGTGCCCAGTAGAGGGCCAGATTCCCCAGCTCCAGTGCCCAGTAGAGGGCCAGATTCCCTAGCTCCAGTGCCCAGTAGAGGGCCAGATTCCCTAGCTCCAGTGCCCAGTAGAGGGCCAGATTCCCTAGCTCCAGTGCCCAGTAGAGGGCCAGATTCCCTAGCTCCAGTGCCCAGTAGAGGGCCAGATTCCCTAGCTCCAGTGCCCAGTAGAGGGCCAGATTCCCTAGCTCCAGTGCCCAGTAGAGGGCCAGATTCCCTAGCTCCAGTGCCCAGTAGAGGGCCAGATTCCCTAGCTCCAGTGCCCAGTAGAGGGCCAGATTCCCTAGCTCCAGTGCCCAGTAGAGGGCCAGATTCCCTAGCTCCAGTGCCCAGTAGAGGGCCAGATTCCCTAGCTCCAGTGCCCAGTAGAGGGCCAGATTCCCTAGCTCCAGTGCCCAGTAGAGGGCCAGATTCCCTAGCTCCAGTGCCCAGTAGAGGGCCAGATTCCCTAGCTCCAGTGCCCAGTAGAGGGCCAGATTCCCTAGCTCCAGTGCCCAGTAGAGGGCCAGATTCCCTAGCTCCAGTGCCCATTAGTGGGGGGGTTTCCCCAGTACCAGAGACTCCTGAGCCCATTGGTGGGCCGTTTAGCCTAGCACCAGAGACTCCTGAGCCCATTGGCGGGCCGTTTAGCCTAGCACCAGAGACTCCTAAGCCCATTGGAGGGCCGTTTAGCCTAGCGCCTGAGACCCCTGAGCCCGTTCTGAGTCATCCTGATTTCCCTGAGCAGACTACTAAAATGCTCTCTGAAATAAAGCTAAGCAGGCACTCCAAGCCTCCACGGCCCCTCAGCGGGCGCTCCAAGCCTCCACGGCCCCTCAGCGGGCGCTCCAAGCCTCCACGGCCCCTCAGCAGGCACTCCAGGCCCCCTCTGAGGCTGTTCCTGTGCCGCAGTCGGCGGCCCCCTCTGAGGCTGTTCCTGTGCCGCAGTCGGCGGCCCCCTCTGAGGCTGTTCCTGTGCCGCAGTCGGCGGCCCCCTCTGAGGCTGTTCCTGTGCCGCAGTCGGCGTCCCCCAAGGTTCCTGCGGCTGCGTCAGAGACGGCGTCGCTGCCGGCCCCCTCCTGGGGCCCTCCTCCTTCAGAGACGGCGTCGCCGCCGGCCTCCTCCAGAGGCCCTCTTTCGCCGCCGGCCCCCTCCTGGGGCCCTCCTTCATCAGAGACGGCGTCGCCGTCGCCGTCCTCCTCCAGAGAGCCTCCTTCATCAGAGATGGTGTCGCCGTCGCCGTCCTCCAGAGACTCTTCCTGGCCTCCGGCCTCACGGCCGCCCTCCAGAGACTCTTCCTGGCCTCCGGCCTCACGGCCGCCCTCCAGAGACTCTTCCTGGCCTCCGGCCTCACGGCCGCCCTCCAGAGACTCTTCCTGGCCTCCGGCCACACGGCCGCCCTCCAGAGACTTTGTTTGCCCTCGCCCACCTTGGGTGGGTTGTTTTGGTTTTGTTTGGACTCTGCGTTTGGTTTTGTATTTCGTGCCCTCCTTCCTGGTTCCCCCTCCGCCCACCCAGGGGGGGTTATTTTTTGTTTCTGGACATTTTGGGCGTCTGGGATCCGCCCTTAAGTGGGGGGCACTGTCATGGTCGTGGTTCTGCTGTTCTTTTCTTTGCTCCTTGTTTTCTAGATTTATTAGCCTAATTCCAGTTTTGTTGTATTTCTAGATTTATATTAGTTCTCAAGTTTTTCTGTTGTCCTCTTTTGCCCTCGTGTGTGTAGGTTCCTTTCCCCTTGGCTCCCTCGTTGTCTCCTCTCACACTTGTTCCTTGTCTGCTCGTTAGCCCTCCTTTTGTCTCTGTCCCCTATATATGCTCTCCCTCTGCTCTCACTCTTTGTTGGTTCCTTGTCTTAGCTGTCTTCCCATGCTGTGGTCTATGTTCCTCGTCTCTTCCTGGGTCCTCGTGTTTGGTTTTCCCCAGATGTCTCCTCTGTTCTGGTTTGCCTTTTTATCATTAGTTGCATTTTTGGATCCCTGCCTTTGTTTACTGTTTTGCCCCATTAAAACTCCCAAGAGATCTCCTCAGCCTCTGCCTCTGCATTTGGGTCCTCCAAACCACAACTAAAACCTGACACCATATAGTGCATTTTTTTGCGCCACGTTTTCTTTTTCTCCCACACTTTTTTTTAATTTTGTTTGGTATACACACTGTGTGTACAAAATGACAATAAATGTTGTCTAAGTCTTTTTTTAATCCTGGGAAGTGAGTCGGGCACAATTTGTTTTTGATGTACATTTGGAGTTCATCTATAACATTTCACATTAATGCCTCTATGTAATAAAACCAAGATTTGTTTTATGTTAGGAAGGAGATTTTAACTCAGATTTATATGTTGTTAACATAATACATCCTCATTATTTTATCCCTTAAAGTTTCCAAATGGGTCAAATCTAACTGCTAAACGTTCCTGTTATTAGCTATTATTGGGTTACACTTTATGAACTGTTAAAGGCTCTGTGATTAGGAGGGTCACCCTGATCCCAGAGGATCTGTCTCTTCATTCTTCATCACTTCCATCTGCTTCCATCAGGCAGAAGACGTAAGTTTTCACTGACCCAGAAAAACATCCACAAGAAATCATTCAAACCATGTACTATATCTACCTAACACCCTTGAGAGATGGAATAAGTGGTATGAATAGTAGCTTTCTACCTGGATTGTACAAGGTTTTTATGTAGTTTTGTTATTTTTATTTGTATTTATTAACCTATGTGTGTAACTATTGATTATAATTTTGATTGAGCCCGTGTCAAAGAATATTTTATATAACTTGAGACAAATAATGTTTCTATTCTATTCTTTCGTGCTAAACACTACAGTCATTCATAAACACATTCAAATGCTAACATGTGCTCAGTTTCTGTTTAAGTTTTTGCTTTATTTTTGTTACATTTTTTATTTGCTGAATGTTAGAAAGAAAAATAGTTCTGCACCATTTGAAGCAAAACTGAGAATGTAAGAGGTTTTGATTTGCAACTTGTATAACAGAATTTGTGTACTTGTACTTACAATTTGGATGGGTGTAAAAAAAAAAATTGCACTTGTGAATTTTTTTTATTCTACACATGCAAAACTTATATAACTCTCTCTATAACTTTATTTCACACTTACAATGCACAAATAATTTTGAAACAAAATAACAGATTATAGAACAAACCTGCAAACAAGGACTAACGAATATGTTAGATTTATGTAGGATTATTATTCATCTCTTTTTTACTGATGGCCTTATGTGGAAAAATTTATGTTTTTCACTTTACTGTACTTTAAGAGCAACATATGTAAAATAAATAAACATTGATAGGAAGCACAAAATTGAGTTGTTGTGCACCTGGTTTTCAGTGAGCATTCTAGAAATATTTCTACATCTTCGCATTGTGGTAGATTCACGGGACTGGAAAAAAATGGAACATTAACCACTGGATGCTAAGGATTTAGCTGCAGTCCTCCCACACAGAGCTTTCTCAAAACAAAAGTCCAGGGAAGGTTACAGAAAGGAACCTTCTTCTTCAAAAGTCTCGATGGTCATAATGTCCGACATCATCATTATATGGAGGAAAGTTGGAATAACCAGGAGCCCTCATGGGATGGTGAAAATAGCTGTGCACCCATGTTTCCCATCCACACTGATTGAAGATTATCTGCATCTATTCATGAGTTGAAACTTGCAAAAATCAGCTGTCCCAAACTTATATCATGTTCAATAAAACTTTAGGTTTTAAATTCTGCCACAGGTGCATTAACTACTCAGAAAAGGCTTCATATGATTAGGTAGACCTTGCTTCTTTTGTTGTATATTTCATATCTATTTGTGAAATTCTTTAGAAAATGTTAGCATTTTCATTGCCATGTGTTCTGTTTGGAAAATCAGGGAAAAAATAAAGATCTACAAATAATTGAGGCTAAATTAAAACATAATGAAACAAAAGACATTTTTTTAGCACACACAACAATTTGTAAACAAAACTTGTTTAAGGAAATTATTGTTGCTTAAAGAAAAATTCAGAGACCTAATAAAATGTGTGAAAGAGCTTCACCCAGTGGACTTCTGTGGTAATTACCAGAAACTTCCTGAAGCCTCTGGAGCGCCGCCTGCTAGAATATAAAGCTGAGACAGTCCCACTGACTGACAGAAAGAAACACAAGCAACACAGGAGAGAAGAGAAACCTGAAAAGAAGTTCATCTCAAGACAAGAAGCCTCAAAGCAAACAGGAGAAAAATGCTGTGCTCTCATGGATTCCCATCTGCCCTCAGTCCTTTCATGGACTTCTCCTGGCCTGTACGCAGTCTGTGGCCAGAGGTCAGACCTCTGCTCTACCAGCAGCATCTCCTGCAAAGAAACCTCCAGGATCTGCGCAGCAGTCTGCAGCTGATGGACAAACTTCAACACCAGATCCTGGAGGACACAGAGCCTTTTAGGAGCAGCGTGGCTCTGCAGCCAGTCTCCTACCAGCTGGACAAAGAGGGAGAGCACTTTGGCCTCACCCTGGATACTCAAGGCTTTTCTCCAGAAGAGCTGTCAGTCAGGCAGGTGGGCAGGAAGCTGAGAGTCAGTGGGAAGACAGAGAAGAAAGAAGAAAATGGGAAAGGCTCCTACTCTTACAGACTTCAGGAGTTTGATCTGCCTGAAGGGGTGAATCCTGAGAACATCAACTGCTACCTTTCTCCAGATGGAAAGCTCCACATCCAGGCAGCCAAAGTTCCTTGTGTGGAGCCAGCTGAGAGAGAGCTGACTATCAAGAGGAGCTCAGAGGAGGAAACACAGCAGAGTGTGTGTTCACCAGCAGAAGACAGCCAATCAGAGACAGACAACAGATCATAGAACAAACCTGCAAACAAGGACTGACAAACATGTTGATGTGCCAATAGGATGGTTATTCATTTATTTCTTTACTGGTGGCCTTATGTGGTTAAATTGATATTTTTCACATTTATGTATTTTTTTAAGAGCAATATATGTAAAACAAATAAAACGTGAAACACAAATTGTTCTAGAAGTGTGTTTTTTTTATGTGTCCCCTTTGTTTATACAGTGAAGACCAGAGCTTCAGGTGTTCTACATTACTGTACCATGCAGCCTTACTGCAAAATGGATAATATTCTGTTTTCAATCTCAAAACTCTGCACATAACACCCCATAAAGATATTATTTAAAAAATACTGATGTGCCAATAGAAGGATTTTTTATTTGTTTTTTTTACTAATGGCCTTATGTGGATGAAGTAACATTTTTCACTTTACTGTATTTTTAAAGAGCAACATACAGTATGTAAAGTAAATAAAATGTAAAAAGGCTATTTTTTTTGTTTGTGTTTCTTTGTTCATACTGTTCAGCAGAATGTAGCCTTATTACAAAATTGATAATATTCTCTTTTTCATCTCCAAACTCTATGCATAATAGCCAATAAAAATATCATTTTAAAAATAGTTTTTAAGGAGATTTAGAGTAAATCAGATATTTGAAAGACTTTACAGACATTTTCATGAAGCACAAAATTGGGTTCTTGTGCATCTGGTTTTCAGTTAGCATCCTAGAAACGTTTCTACACCTTCACTGGAGTCCATTGTGGTAGATTCACAGGACTGGAAAAAAATTGGAAAGTCTCCACATGGAGGCTAAGGATTTAGCTGTAGTCCTCCAAAACAGAACGTCTTAAAACAAAAATCCAGGAAAGGTTAGAGAAAGGAACCTTCTTCTTCGAAGGTCTAAATTGTCATAATGGCCTCCATCATCATTATATGGAGGAATCTTGGAATGACCAGAACCCCTCATAGAGCTGGATGGCCATCTTGAATTTCATAAGAGATCTAAAAATGGCTGTGCACCCATGTTCCCCATCCACACTGATTTTTTTATATGATTACCTGCATCTATTCATGACAGTAAACTTCCAAAAATCAGGTGTCCCAAACTTATAGCATCACATTCAATAAAACTTCAAACTGTAATTTCTGCCAAAGGTGCATCAATTACTCAGAAAAGGCTTCATATAATTAGGTACACCTCGCTTTTTTGTTTGTATATTTCATGTGTATCTGTTACATTATTTGCTAAAATATTTTCCTGTTATTGGAAAATAGGGATGGTAAAACCAATGATCAAATTTAGTTTGCCGCTGTATCAAAAACAAACATGAAGAAAAGTGTTGTGAATATTGTTTGAATTCAGTGTAAACCAGAGCACCAGGCTTCTGAAAAAAAGCTCAGAAAATGTATTCCTATAAACAGAGATAGGATACATAAATTGCAAAAAAGAAAAGAATTGAGTAAACAATTTTAATAGAACAAGGATAATATACACGAAATGGTAATGTTTTATTTCCTGCTGTATAACAATGCCAATAACCAAGGAACATGTTTTCTCTTCATAAAGAATAATTCCATAGAATATATCTGATATAGAGATTCAGAAAAGCTGGTTAATTAAAGATCTGCACAATCTTTCCAAAAGCTTCTCTAAAATAAATTAAAATAATTTAAGTAATTTCAGTTGATCATAATGAATGAAAAGATAAACAATTTCAACTGACAGTTTCATAAATGAAGTGTTAAAAAAATTACATATTCATATTAATCCTTCAATTAAAATCTTTTAATTGATTTAAGCACACAGAAATATTCAGTTAAAGGACATAAAATCTGGTGCATAAAAATTATTTATTCAAAAACCTCTTAAACTTTTTTGTGTGTGCATAAAGAAACATCAAAATATATTTTCAGATTAGTTTAAATATTTCATCCTTGAAACAAAATAATGTTAAAACTAACCAACAATTACTAAAATACATGATTAAGGAAGTGATTGTTGAAGAAGCAAAGTTGGGAAGACCTGATAAAATGTGTGAAAGAGCTCCATCCAGTGGACTTCTGTGGTAATTACCAGAAACTTCCTGAAGCCTCTGGAGCGCCGCCTGCTAGAATATAAAGCTGAGACAGTCCCACTGAGTGACAGAAAGAAACACAAGCAACACAGGAGAGAAGAGAAACCTGAAAAGAAGTTCATCCCAAGACAAGAAGCCTCAAAGCAAACAGGAGAAAAATGCTGTGCTCTCATGGATTCCCATCTGCCCTCAGTCCTTTCATGGACTTCTCCTGGCCTGTACGCAGTCTGTGGCCAGAGGTCAGACCTCTGCTCTACCAGCAGCATCTCCTGCAACTAAACCTCCAGGATCTGCGCAGCAGTCTGCAGCTGATGGACAAACTTCAACACCAGATCCTGGAGGACACAGAGCCTTTCAGGAGCAGCGTGGCTCTGCAGCCATTCTCCTACCAGCTAGACAAAGAGGGAGAGCACTTTGGCCTCACCTTGGATACTCAAGGCTTTTCTCCAGAAGAGCTGTCAGTCAGGCAGGTGGGCAGGAAGCTGAGAGTCAGTGGGAAGACAGAGAAGAAAGAAGAAAATGGGAAAGGCTCCTACTCTTACAGACTGCAGGAGTTCAGACAGGAGTTTGATCTGCCTGAAGGGGTGAATCCTGAGAACGTCAACTGCTACCTTTCTCCAGATGGAAAGCTCCACATCCAGGCAGCCAAAGTTCCTTGTGTGGAGCCAGCTGAGAGAGAGCTGACTATCAAGAGGAGCTCAGAGGAGGAAACACAGCAGAGTGTGTGTTCACCAGCAGAAGACAGCCAATCAGAGACAGACAACAGATCATAGAACAAACCTGCAAACAAGGACTGACAAACATGTTGATGTGCCAATAGGATGATTATTCATTTATTTCTTTACTAATGGCCTTGTGTGGATAAATTGATGTTTTGTACTTTGTTTTTAAGAGCAACATATGTAAAATAAATCAAATGTAAAAAGCAAATTGTTCTAGAATTGTTTTTTTTTATGTGTCCCTTTTTTTATACAGTGAAAACCAATGCTTGGTGTTCTACATTACTGTACAATACAGCCTTATTGCAAAATGGATAATATTATCTTTTCAATCTCAAAACTCTACACATAACACCCCGTATAAAGATCTAATTTAAAAAATACATATATTTTTAAAGAGATTTAAAGTAAATCAGATATTTGGAAGACTTTACAGACATTTTTATGAAGCACAAAATTGAGTTCTTGTATCTGGTTTTCAGTGAGCATCCTAGAAACGTTTCTACACCTTCACTGGAGTCCATTGTGGTAGATTCACAGGACTGGAAAAAAATTGGAAAGTTACACATGGAGGCTAAGGATTTAGCTGCAGTCCTTCTACACAGAACGTCTAAAAAACAAAAATTCAGGGAAGGTTAGAGAAAGGAACCTTCTTCTTCAAAGGTCTAGATGGTCATAATGTCCTCCATAATCATTATAGGAATCTTGGAATGACCAGGACCCCTCATAGAGCTGGATGGCCATCTTGAATTTCATAAGAGATCTAAAAATTGCTGTGCACCCATGTTCCCCATCCACACTGTTTTTATATAAGATAACCTGCATCTATTCATCAGTGCAAACCCCGAAAAATCAGGTGTCCCAAACTTATAACATCACATTCAATAAAACTTCAAACTGTAATTTCTGCCAAAGGTGCATCAACTACTCAGAAAAGGCTTCATATGATTAGTTACACCTCGCTCCTTTGTTTGTATATTTCATGTGTATCTGTTACATTATTTGCTAAAATAATGTCCTGTTATTGGAAAATAGGGATGGTAAAACCAATTATCAAAATTTTGTTTGCCGCTGTATCAAAAACAAAGATGAAGAAATGTGTTGTGAATATTGTTTGAATTCAGTGTAAACCAGAGCACCAGGCTTCAGAAAAAAAGCTTAGAAAATGCATTCCTATAAACAGAGATAGGATACATAAACTGCAAAAAAGCAAATAATTGGTTAAACAATTTTAACAGAATAAGAATAATGCTACCCAAAATGGTAATGTTTTATTTCCTGCTGTATAACAATGCCAATAACCAAGGAACATGTTTTCTCTTCATAAAGAATGATTCCATAGAATATATCTGGTATAGAGATTCAGAAAAGCTGGTTAATTAAAGATCTGCACAATCTTTCCAAAAGCTTCTCTAAAATAAATTAAAAATTATTTAAGTAATTTCAGTTGATCAAAATGAATGAAATGATAAACATTTTCAACTGATAGTTTCATGAATTAAGTTTTAAAAATGTACAAATTCATATTAATCCTTCAATTAAAATCTTCAAGATTTAAGCAAACAGAAATATTCAGTTAAAAGTTGTGAAATCTGGTGCATAAAAATGTTTTATTCAAAAACTTCTTAAACTTCTTTGTGTGTGCATAAAGAAACATCTAAATACATTTTCTGATTAATTTAAATATTTTATCTTTGAAACAAGATAATGTTAAAACTGACCAACAATTACTAAAATACATGATTAAGGAAGTGATTGTTGAAGAAGCAAAGTTGGGAAGACCTGATAAAATGTGTGAAAAAGCTCCACCCAGTGGACTTCTATGGTAATTACCAGAAACTTCCTGAAGCCTCTGGAGCGCCGCCTGCTAGAATATAAAGCTGAGACAGTCCCACTGACTGACAGAAAGAAACACAAGCAACACAGGAGAGAAGAGAAACCTGAAAAGAAGTTCATCCCAAGACAAGAAGCCTCAAAGCAAACTGTAGAAAAATGCTGTGCTCTCATGGATTCCCATCTGCCCTCAGTCCTTTCATGGACTTCTCCTGGCCTGTACGCAGTCTGTGGCCAGAGGTCAGACCTCTGCTCTACCAGCAGCATCTCCTGCAAAGAAACCTCCAGGATCTGCGCAGCAGTCTGCAGCTGATGGACAAACTTCAACACCAGATCCTGGAGGACACAGAGCCTTTCAGGAGGAGCGTGGCTCTGCAGCCAGTCTCCTACCAGCTGGACAAAGAGGGAGAGCACTTTGGCCTCACCCTGGATACTCAAGGCTTTTCTCCAGAAGAGCTGTCAGTCAGGCAGGTGGGCAGGAAGCTGAGAGTCAGTGGGAAGACAGAGAAGAAAGAAGAAAATGGGAAAGGCTCCTACTCTTACAGACTGCAGGAGTTCAGACAGGAGTTTGATCTGCCTGAAGGGGTGAATCCTGAGAACGTCAACTGCTACCTTTCTCCAGATGGAAAGCTCCACATCCAGGCAGCCAAAGTTCCTTGTGTGGAGCCAGCTGAGAGAGAGCTGACTATCAAGAGGAGCTCAGAGG